CAGGCCCCGTCCCTCCCCGCAAAGCCGCGGTTAGGTTTAAAGCCCTTCTGCAGACCGACCCTGGAGCCGAGGTGTGTGGGCAGAGGTTTGTTGCCACCTGAGGCTGGTCAGTGAGACCACGGGCTCCGTGGCGCCGTTTACGAAGGAAGCGGGGTTTGATGCGAATCCGGTATGTCTGACCATCCGTCTGCCCAGCCCTGGAACTCCTGAGTTTTCTTGGTGACCTTAAGAAGAGAGCTCGTAGAGCTGAGCAATGTGGTTTTGGTTGAGCAGCAGAGGGAGACCTCCCCAGGGCAGCAATGGAGGGGCTCTCCCCAGGCTCTGTGGGGACGAGCGTTGGGGACCTCCCAGCCTCCCCGAAAGAGCCTTGAGCAGCTCTTGCTGGAGGGCCATGGCACCATCCGCGGGGAGCGTGGGAGTCCATTGCTCGCTCCCTACATCGCTGCCCTTGCTTGGGTGAAAACTGCCTGCGGTTTTCTCCTGGGTATTTTGTGCTGTTGGTGGTTTTCTTCTTTTTTATTATTTTTATTAAAGAGTACTTTACACTTAAAAGAACCTAAGGCTCTGATCCTTCAAATAATTTTAGTAAAAAGGCCAAGTAAAACGTTTGGTTTGTGAGTGTTCACTGGTTCAGGCCCTTTGGCTCTAAGCATATATATATTTTTTTGCTATCTTCTTTCCGTGCTTCACCCAATACTTCCTGTGTGACTTCAAGTGAGTCACATTATCATGTACAATATGAAGATAACAGCAGCTCTGCAGCAGAGCTATGGTAAACTTTAAATGCAATATTCATACAACAAACCAGCATCGATATAAACAAACCACAGTTTTCTGAAGGCAGTGTTTGGCCTGCTCTTTTCAGAATTGTGTTCAAGGGTTTCAGCAGTTTTTAAAATGTGGACTTCCTTTACTAATTAAGGACCTGGGGAGGGGGGTGGCAGCTAGCTTTGAGTTCAATCCTTACTCGGAGTGCTGTGCTCTGATACTGGTATGCAGGTGCAGGCTTAAGCATTCATTGTTTGTTGTTGTTCTAAAAAGGCCCCAGAACACTCTAACATAGTTGAAGAAGTTGTTTTTTATATCCCTGTTGCCTCCCATCCTTGCAGTGTGAAGCTACTTCAGGGCCTTCTGGCAGCACATGCAGTCAGATGACTGAGGTCCTGTGTTAGCAGCTTCAAATGGGAGGTCATAAACTGGTATCACCCAGCCCATCCTCCTTCCCTCAGATCTCCATAACCTTGGTCAGGATGTTTCTCGAACCTAATCCTGTCAGAGCAGAAGTGCTCACGTTGTTAGCAAAGCATGTGACAAGGGAAGAGAAGCAAGGATGTTATTTGTTTCTTTATGCAATTACATAAAGTCAGAGGTTTTTTTTTCAGGTTCTTTCATG